TCCCTTCCCTTCCCTTCCCTCCCTTCCCTTCCTTCCCTTCCCTTCCCTTCCCTTCCCTTCCCTTCCCTTCCCTTCCCTTCCCGTTCCCGTTCCCGTTCCCGTTCCCTTTTCCTTTTCCTTTTCCTTTTCCTTTTCCTTTTCCTTTTCCTTTTCCTTTTCCCTTCCCTTCCCTTCCCTTCCCTTTCCTTTCGTTTCCTTTCTTCTTCCCACCCCCACCCTCACCCCAGCATAGTAATAGTATCTGTCACATAGCCCATGATTAATGAATGGTTGCTAATTGATTCTCTGAAGTTTTCTGAAAACTTTGGAACTTGACCCCCCCTTGAGTGTAGGCACTATTTCCGACCTCTTTTCTCTTTTTATTAGCACCTGTTACATATCAGGTGTTTGATAAATCTTGGCTGAATTAGGTTGAAGAAGCAGGATTATTCAGTGGGAGAAGGGCTGAGTTTGTCTGTCAGAAGACCTAGGTTAATAATCCTGGCTCTACTGCCCACTTGCTGAGTGGACTTTGGCTTCAATTTCTTTATCTGGAAGAGGGGAGAGTTAGACTATTGATGCCTCTGTGTAGTCCCTTTCATTTCTATATGTGTGGAAGCTGTGGAGAAGATGTTTGCTCTATGTGAGGAGAACTTTGAAATAATTAGAGTCCCCCAGAAAGGGCACAGGCTTCTTCAGGAAATTATAGGTCATATGACCATAGTTGGAGAGTTGAAAGGGACCTTAGTTAGAGGCCATCTAATCTAATGCCCTCATTTTTATATATGAATAAACTGAGGCCCAGAGAAGGGAAGAAACTTGCATATACTCATACAGCTTGTAAGTGGTAATGGTTCCCCCTCACTAAAGGTCTTCAAAGAGAGATGGGATAGCCCTTTGTCAAGGATGTTAGAGAAGGCACTCTTGATTAGGTCTAAGTAGGACTAGATGGTCTTTGATATTCCTTCCAATGCTGAGAGTTCTGTGATGATCTTACATAAGACCAGCTAAATTCCAGGAGCATCTGGTGGGGGAGGAAGAAAAGCATGTTATCAGTGTCAATAATTCATAATTCAGAGTGTTTCTTTGTTTTTTTTCCTCTCCTGCAGGTCATTTATTTAGGTCTTTTCCAGTCATGGATCCATTTTCCTTTGATTACTCAGAACCGGGGAATTTCACAGACCTCAACTGGACATGCACCAATGGAGACTGCATCACTGTGGACACCATCATGTGCCCCAGTGCAACAGGCCGAAACATCCTGTCGTATACCCTTTCCATCTTTTATATTTTCATCTTTGTTGTTGGCATGATTGCCAACTCTGTAGTGGTCTGGGTGAATCTCCAGGCCAAGACGACAGGTTATGAAACTCACCTGTACATCCTAAATTTGGCCATCGCTGACCTGTGTGTGGTCGTCACCATCCCCATCTGGGTGGTCTCCTTGGTCCAGCACAACCAATGGCCCATGGGAGAACTCACCTGTAAGATCGCTCATCTCATCTTCTCCATCAACCTCTTTAGTAGTATCTTCTTCCTGACCTGCATGAGCGTGGACCGATACCTCTCTGTGACCTATTTCACCAACACCAGCAGCCACAAGAAAAAGGTTGTCCGCAGGCTCATCTGTATTCTTGTGTGGCTACTGGCCATCTGCGTGTCACTGCCAGATGCTTACTATCTGAAAACTGTCACATTGGCTGCCAACAATGAAACGTACTGCCGGTCCATCTATCCAGAGCACAGCATCAAGGAGTGGCTGCTGGGCATGGAACTGCTCTCCGTGGTCCTGGGTTTCATCATCCCTTTCTCCATCATCGCTGTCTTCTATTTTCTGCTGGCCAGAGCAATCTCAGCCTCAGGCGACCAAGAGAAACACAGCAACCAGAAAATCATCTTCTCCTATGTCGTCGTCTTCCTCATCTGCTGGCTGCCCTATCATGCTGTGGTGCTCCTAGACATCTTCTCCTTCCTCCACTTTATTCCCTTTAGCTGTCAGCTGGAAAACTTCCTCTACACGGCTCTGCACGTCACCCAGTGTCTGTCCCTGGTGCATTGCTGTGTCAACCCAGTCCTCTATAGCTTCATTAACCGAAACTACCGGTACGAGCTGATGAAAGCTTTCATCTTCAAGTACTCAGCCAAAACGGGTCTCACCAAACTCATAGATGCGTCCCGAGCATCAGAAGCAGAGTACTCCGCGTTGGAGCAGGGCGCCAAATGACCGGGGAGGTCTGTCCCCAAAGACATCCTTTAGAACTTCTGTGCTTGACTTTCGCAGGGCACAGAAGAAAGCTAAACCGGCTTCTAGTTGGGTGGAACCATTCCTATGGAGTCATCTGTTTGTTTCTTCTCAGTGCCTATGTATGTGTCCAGCCCCAACCATGGAAAAGGAAAGTTTTGCATCCAACAGAGCCTCTGTGTGCTGTTGGAGATGTCATACTCCAATTGAAGATGTTGTGAGAGAGTGCTCCAGAGTTCACTGTATATTTTGTATGCTATATTGTATTTAAGACCGAAGACTTCTTTTTATTTTCTGGTTAGCAGTGTATCTGAATACATTGTATTTGAAAGTTAAATATATTTTTATCTCCTATTTGAAATATAAAGTTGACCTGTGTATCCAGAGTGATGTAGTTTAAATGTCTGCATGGCATCATTTTTGACTGTTCTATGACTAAGGATGACTTTCATTGTTAACTGTATGGAAAATATATGTATATAAATATCTATCTATCTACCTATCTATCTATATATCTATCTATATATGTTGGTCTTGATTGAAATGTTTTATTTACAATAGCTTTATATGTGTATGGTGGTATACACCAGCATGGGGCATGGAACATGAGCTGTTTGCTTTAAAATGTAGCCTGTGGCATGAACAGTATTGTAAAGTTAGGCTTAATGCAAGACCTTGGATCCAAGTGGTTACTAGATCCACAGAAGGAACAGAGAGGGCTTATTGCAGAAAGTTCTATTTGTAACTTATTTTTTAAAATAAAAGTCTTTGTTCCAAAGGCATCTGATGATTCTGGCTTATCCTTTGGGGGGGGGATTGGGGAACACAAACAGACAGGAAGACCAAGTCAACTGAGAAACATTACGGTGGAACTCTGCCTTGGGCTTATATTTTTATTTGTTTTTAGGTTTGTGTATGTAGCCATGCCAACATCCCCACCTGCTCTCTGCTGCTGTCATGCACTCCTTGAACATGTGCTTAGGGTTTTTAAAAAGGACAAAAAGAAACTGTATCATGTGATAAGAGCTAAGGGTCAGGCTGAAGTGAATATTGTAGGATCTAGAAGAAGACAACCCATAGAGTAACCCTCTCCATTCCATGATTGTGTATGTTTGTGTGTGTGTGTGTGAGAGAGAGAGAGAGAAATAGAGAGAGAGAAAGAAATAGAGAGAGGGGGAGAGAGAGAGAGAGAGAGAGAGAGAGAGAGAGAGAGAGAGAGAGAGAAGAACCTTAGACATGGAAGGTAACTCTCCTATATTATTTCCTGGGGAAATCCATTGGGTCAAGGTGATTTGACCAAGGTGACAGACAGCATTTCTCATATAGTCAGCCCCAGAGGCAGGATTCAAACCCAGATCCATTGACTCTAAGGCCGGTGGTTTTCTAATAAACCCTCCTACCTCTGAGACAGTAAAGAAATCAGACATGGTACTTGCTCTTATTGGGCTCATACTCTTGGGAGGAGGGGGTTGTCATACAAACACCCAATACTTTATAGCAGTGATTCTCAAAGCATGGTCCAGGGACCCCCAATGGATCCCAAGACTTTTTTTGGGTGATCCACAAGGTCAAAACTTTTCATAGTAAACTAACATTTTAATTTCTAATATAGTAAATGCCACTAGATATAACCCACACAAAAGCTCTTGAGGGGTGTCTCAGTTTTTTAAGAGTATAAAGGGGTCCTAAAACCAAAAAGTTTGAGAACTACTGCCTTATAGTAATGAATAGGCAGTGCTCAATAACTGTAGGGCAGGATAATTGAACATGATCATATAAAGTCATGAAATGAGGTCAGAGAAACTAAAGGATCCTTTTAATATTTTATTTTTTTCTTGGATTATTTTTTAAAATACATTTTATTGATGTTTTATTTTTATCTCACCTTGTATCTCTCCATCTCCCTGATAATAAAGACTGCTTTTAAAGTTTTTGAATACATTGATATCATTTATTTTTGCATCACTTACATTTCTTCTCTCTCACAGAGAGATGCCTTATGGTTAAGTAGAGAGAGGAAGAAATAGTCTGGCAAAAAGAGATAGACAGAAAGATAGAGCATTGCTGAAGCATTTCCCATGTGCCAGGCACTCTACTAAGCACTGGGCATATAAATACAAGCCAATAAGGCAGTGCCTGTCCTCACAGAATTTACACTCTAATGGTGGGAAACAACCCTTGAAGGGGAGCTAGAAAGGAAGGGGAGGGTGAGGACCATGGTGTGGAGACGGTCAAATGTGGTCTGTGACAGCTTCCCCAATCAGCCAAGTGGACCCAAGGGGAAAGTCCAAGGTGGCAGTGGTGGGAGAGATGAACGTATTGGCGGATGTTCAATTCAGTTCAATGAAGTGTCTACTATGTGCCAGGCACTGTGGTAAGCACTAAAGTCTAAGCAGTTGTTGAAAATATGACATTATATGCAATGTTCCATGCCCACACATAGCCCCCTTTTCCCAACTCTGGGGTTGGGGAAAGTAACATCTTATGGCTTTTTTTTAAGGGTCAAGCTTGGTGATTATATCTTTGTATCCTGAGGAACTAAGTTCCTGGATGGAGTTGGAAGATTTGGATTCAAGTCTCAGTTTTGCCCCTTATTAGCTATATAACTTCAAGTTACATCCTTATTGTTAAGCCCCTCTGGGCTTTAGATTCCTAATCTATAAAATTAGAGGTTTGGGGTGGGAAGAATTTTGCGAACTGTTGCTGGAGGTGAAGGAAGGTAGAACGTAAGCCCTCTGAAGGCAGGAAAACCTGTATTGTTCTTCCTGACTCAGAGGCTTGTTCTGTACCTTGTATGTATCTGTGTATCATCTACTGACTACAATAATATACATTTAAAAACCAGTGAAAGAAACTGAATGATGAATGACTATAATGAACAAAGTGACTGGGAGGAGAGAGGTGAGAGCACCTCCTTCCTTGCAATATCAAGGCAGGGGACAGCAGGTGCAGAATATTATATGCATTGCCAGACTGACAATTGTGGTTGCTATTGACTGACTTTGCTGAACCATTTTTCATTTTCATGGGAGGGGACTCATTTTGGTAGTGGTGGAGGGGGGACAAGGGGTACATGAGAGAATAATTGTGCTATAAAATGAAATGCAATAAAATGTATAAATAAATATTGTTAAAAAATGAAGGGGCCCGTCAAGTGATGCCAAGATCTCTTCCAGTTCAAACATTGTGACGAATTTTCAAGCTGGAGTCACTAAGGAAACATCTAGCTTCTAGTCTGGAGGGCGCACTGGGGAAAAATGTGTCAGAGAACAATCTTGTGGTATAATATTCTTGGCCTGTTTCTAGGTCAGCACAATCCATCTCTTTTATCCTGGGCTTTTCTCTTGTATTGTTAAGCTCCTGTGGTTATGGAAACTTGTTTTTCCCCTAACCCTATGCTCTTCTGGACACAAGAGACAGTGTGGACCTCTACTCAAACTCACTTCCTTTCCCTGCTGAGTCCTTCCCTGGGTTGAAGGTAGCTTCTTTTTTCAAGGTCATTCAAAGACAAGAGAACTCCTGGGATTGGCTCTTGAAAGACTCTTGACCCTTCTCTACAAGCTGGAAAGGGCATGAGTAGCATCGTTCCTGCTAAAAGCCCCAAGATCTCTTGGATGATCTGAGGCATCAGATATAAAAAATCTCAGTTCTGCCACTTTTGGACTGTGTGACCTTGAGGAAGTCTCTTCTCTGTCAGCCAGTCAAAAAGGGCTGGGGAGACAAACACCAAATCCACGATCCCAGGACCTGGATTCTAGTCCCAGCTCTGCTGGCAAATAGCAGTGTGACCGCTCAACTCAGTCCCTTCTATGAGCGTCAGCTTCCTGCCTTGTAAAATGAGGGGCTTGGATGGAATGATACGTAAGGTACTTTCCAGCTCTCATATCTAAATTCTTTAGATGGGTGATGTGACATTTTCCCTATAGGGGCCTTTTCTAAAATGCTGGTGGAGGTTAATTCACACCAAGCTGTTAAGGAGGCTGCCTGGGGAGTAAAGAGCCTTGGCTTGAGGAGAGGAGATGCTGCAGGGCTGACCATAAGACGCAAAGCCTGCTGCCTGGCCCGGGAGACCCCCAATTTCCCAACTTTGCTGGACCTGAATGAAGTGCCCCACTCACTAGCTTTTGAATGTAGGAGATGATAGGATCACAGTCTGGAAGGTACGTTAGAGGTCATCTTCCTTCATTCGACAGGTAATAGGCATCAGAGGCAACATTCAACGCTCGTCCTTTGACCCTCGAAGGTGCTCTTTTCTCCATACTGATGCTAGTGCAGTAGCCTTCCATCACACCCCCTCTTCTCTTGGGCAGACTTTGGATGAAGATAGATTCCATCCCTGCAGTAGGTACTGCCCCCTATGTAATGTCCACGTACCTGAGCACCCCTTCTCCTCCAAAGTGTTTATTTTGGTCAGTACCCTACTAGAGATGCCCGGGGCTCCAGTGCCAACGTTGGTAGTAGGGCTCAGATTATGGGTCGTTCTATGCATGGCTTTCTAGTAAGTGGAAAGAGGAAGATAAGTTGCTTGTTTAGTTCAGTTCAACAGACAGACCCATAGGTAAGAGCAAAAGCCCCAAGGCGAAAGCAACTGAAGAATGTTGGGGGGGGTGGTGGCAAAAAATAGGCTGGGTTGCCTGGAACAGAGGATGTAGGTGGTTGGGGAAAAGTCAAGAACATTAGGTTGGGGCCAGATTAGGAAGGACCTTGAATGTCATGCTAAGAAGTTTGGATTTTAGCATGGCAGAACCCTGAAAGGATTTCTGGATTAGGTTTGTTTTCCTTGGCCCCAGAGAATAGAACTAGGAGAACTAGGCAGAAATGGCAAAGAAGTAAATGTAAGCTTGATGAAAGAGTGTAATTTAGTCACTATTAGAGCTGTTCCAGAGTGGAATGGATTACCTCAAGAAGACTCAGTTTTACCTTTCAAGCCCACTTGAAGGGCCACTTGACTGCGACTTCCCCGTTGTGAAAGTGGAGAAGGCGTTTTGATTTGGGGGTGGATTGGGCAAGTGGCTTCTATACTTCTGGTCAACTCAGAGAATCGGTGATTGGGGGTGGGGGCAGGGAAAGGGTACCTAGATGGAGGTCAGGGTTTTAGCGAGGTTACCCTGGACTCAGTGTGCAGTGTGGTGGGGCAGGGAACCTCTGCAGTAGTCTAGATGTGAGCCACGGAACACGTGTGGGGATGGAAAGAGATCAGGAATCTCCTGCCTCGGCACCCGCGGCTTACAGGGCCCTGATCCGTTCCTTGTTCCTCTAAGTCCAAAGCTCTAAAAGTACGATCTTTGGTTGGGCCCCAGCCCCTCCGCCATGACACCTCGATTTCACCGGCAGGCCTGGCTGGAGGGTGAGTCAGATGCATGCCAGCCAAGCAGGGGCATGTCCTTGGTGACAGGAACGCGGGCCAGCCCAATCGGGAGCAGGTGGCTCGTATTTTAACATATCACCCCGGGCCTCTCACCGGGCTAAACTGGGGCATCCGCAGTGTCCAGAGCGGCCTTTTTTAGGGGCTGGAATCTGAGAGCTGGAAGGACCTACCTCCTCTTTTCACAGCCGCCCCAGAATGTCAGTAACTCGCCCCAGGCTCCCAATTAGTGCGAGAAATGAACTCCAAAGCCACCCCTCTACTTCTCAGGCAAGGACGCTGTTCACAAGCCGGAGGTTTAGATTCACTTTGAACTATTAGTTATGTTACCGTAGTAAAACACTTCACTCCTCTGGAAGCCTCAGTTTGGTCATCTGTGAAGTGGGAACAGTCATATTTGTAGGCATCTTATTTACC